TCAACGTAAGAACCATACCTAGTAATCGTGATGCTATTATGTAAAAAAATGGCGGCTTACGGGAAGGAATTTGCAAGTTTTCAACAACTGTCAATAAATTGCAACAAATTTATCAACAACCTCCCCTTTCTACTAAGAATCCCTAATTAATTGTTGATATTGTCTATTATCTATGTATATATATATCTTCTTGTATTATCATTTCACCTGATAATGACAATGTAGATTGTTGAAAAGTGCAATAAAACTAAAATTGTGTTCGGTAAAGATCTTTTGTTTAAGTGCTGCATGAATACATGACCTACATAGTGTGCATAGTTATTAACCTATGCTACGAGTTCTTATTGATTTTTTTGAACCTGTGTTATGAACCAAGGAACAGTACTGGTGTGTGATAAAACATAGTAACGCATTTTACCGCTATAAGATAACGAAAGCGATTTCCGCTTTCGTTAATTCACATGAGAAAAACCTTATGTATGCTATAAAAACTTTTTTCAGGAACTTTTTTCACAAATAAACATGCGTTTACATTGTCTTGTTGCTGTGTTGGTTGTACTTGTTTTGATTGATGTTGGAGAGGGATACTATCGTAGATACTATCGATATCGAGGGGGTCGTAGATACTATCGATATCAAGAAGCCGATACAGACAATATTCGAGAGATAACTGTCAGTAAATGTTTGAAATGGCCCATAGTGAAATATATCGTTACACAATTCACCTGCCCAAAACGTAAGTCTATCTTTATCATAGTTGGAAATATTAGTCAAATCAATAGAAATGTTAGCTTAGATCGACCGTGTGTTATGTTTGCGTGTGTGTGTGGTTGGGGTGGGGTTGTCTAGGGAGAGATTCATAAAGATTATAGAGTTCCGTGTGTTATGTTTGTGTGTGTGTGTGGTTGGGGTGGGGTTGTCTAGGGAGAGATTCACAAAGATTATAGAGTTCCGTGTGTTATGTTTGTGTGTGTGTGTGGTTGGGGTGGGGTTGTCTAGGGAGAGATTCATAAAGATTATAGAGATAGTTCAGTCATGCCCTATTACTATAGTGAAACCCACCCAAACCGCATTATACTAAACCGACACCCTCTCTTAACCGCCATATTTGAGAAGTCCCAAAAGAATTGCTATATAATCTAACTTGGAAAAGTATGGCTCTAAAGTGGTAAATCTATAGTTACCTAACCCCTCTAAACCAGCAGATTATTTAAAGGTAATCCATTGACGCTATTAAGGTATAAACTAGGCAATCCCTACTTCATTTCACATGACTGTATGCAAGATAAATTGTCTGGCTTGAAGGGAAGTAACTTTTGTTAAGGATGGAATAGCAAAAACACAATACGACACCTGTTACTGACATTATATGAGAGAAACTGTATTTGATTTACTTAGTTTTTTTAAAGCGAACAGGAGATCGTGGAATTGTGAGGTCAAAAGAAAACAACACTGAGTTGATCATAGGCCAGATGCATAACCATTTTCACACGTAATAGTGATATTTTGTCAATTTCAGCTGATCCCTGTGCCATGATAGACTGTAATTGTAACGGGAAATGTGTTGATGGAGAATGTAAATGTAATACTGGGTTTCATGGACAGTTCTGTTCAGGTATGGATATTTATAGTCCCTGGATTTTCTACTCTAGATATCTTTTTAGTAAATGGTTTTGGTCAACAAGCTCAATAGGCCTACAAAAGAGTATACAGAGGATTCCATAAACAGTTTATTTAGACCCAGAAAAACAGTTTAGTAAGATCCCATAAACAGTTTAGTAAGACCCCATAGACAGTTTAGTAAGACCCCATAAACAGTTTAGTAAGATCCCATAGATAGTTTAGTAAGATCCCATAAACAGTTTAATAAGACCCCATAGACAGTTTAGTAAGATTCCATAGACAGTTTAGTAAGACCCCATAAACAGTTTAGTAAGATCCCATAGATAGTTTAGTAAGACCCCATAAACAGTTTAGTAAGATCCCATAGATAGTTTAGTAAGACCCCATAAACAGTTTAGTAAGACCCCATAGACAGTTTAATAAGACCCCATAGACAGTTTAGTAAGATCCCATAAACAGTTTAGTAAGACCCCATAGACAGTTTAGTAAGACCCCATAAACAGTTTAGTAAGATTCCATAGACAGTTTAGTAAGATCCCATAGATAGTTTAGTAAGATCCCATAAACAGTTTAATAAAATCCCATTAACAGTTTAGTAAGACCCCATAGACAGTTTAATAAGACCCCATAGACAGTTTAGTAAGACCCCATAGGCAATTTAGTAAGACCCCATAGACAGTTTAGTAAGATCCCATAGACAGTTTAGTAAGATCCCATAAACAGTTTAGTAAGACCCCATAGACAGTTTAGTAAGACCCCATAAACAGTTTAGTAAGACCCCATAGACAGTTTAGTAAGACCCCATAAACAGTTTAGTAAGAATCCATAGACAGTTTAGTAAGACCCCATAGACAGTTTAATAAGACCCCATAGACAGTTTAGTAAGACCCCATAGGCAATTTAGTAAGACCCCATAGACAGTTTAGTAAGACCCCATAGATAGTTTAGTAAGATCCCATAAACAGTTCAATAAAATCCCATTAACAGTTTAGTAAGACCCCATAGACAGTTTAATAAGACCCCATAGACAGTTTAGTAAGACCCCATAGATAGTTTAGTAAGATCCCATAAACAGTTTAGTAAGACCCCATAAACAGTTTGGTAAGATCCCATAGACAGTTTAGTAAGACCCCATAAACAGTTTGGTAAGACCCCATAGATAGTTTAGTAAGACCCCATAGACAGTTTAGTAAGACCCCATAGATAGTTTAGTAAGACCCCATAGATAGTTTAGTAAGATCCCATAAACAATTTGATAAAATCCCATTAACAGTTTAGTAAGGCCCCATAGACAGTTAAATAAGACCCCATAGACAGTTTAGTAAGACCCCATAGACAGTTTAGTAAGACCCCATAGACAGTTTAATAAGACCCCATAGACAGTTTAGTATGACCCCATAGACAGTTTAGTAAGATCCCATAGACAGTTTAATAAGACCCCATAGACAGTTTAGTAAGATCCCATAGACAGTTTAGTAAGAACCCATAGACAGTTTAGTAAGACCCCATCACCAGTTTAGTAAGATCACATAACAGTTCAGTAACATTCCATAGACAGTTTAATAAGATTCCATAGACAGTTCAGTAACATTCCATAGACAGTTTAGTAAGATCCCATAGACAGTTTAATAAGATCCCATAAACAGTTTAGTAAGATCCAATAAACAGTTTAGTAAGACCCCATGAACAGTTTAGTAAGATCCCATAGACAGTTTAGTAAGATCCCATAGACAGTTTAGTAAGATCCCATAGACAGTTTAATAAGATCCAT